GTCGTATTCAGAACCAACATCTTGTTGATCGCAAATGCTATATCATACTTAGGAAAACTTTTTTATAATAACGAGTGAAATGCACAAGTTTTGCAGTTCAACGGGAAAAATGCAGATAATATGAGTAATATAAAAAGATTTTCATTGGATTTTTCACAGCGCACTCAAGCATTATATGAGAGACGTAATTATTTCTTTATTGATAATTTTTATTTTATGTAAAATCAAAAGGAATATTAATCAAAATTATTCAACTGGATGAATTTGTCTCTTCATCAGTAGTGTCATCCTCACCAATCTGAATTATCAGTGGCTCGATTTGTGCATCTATTATGTTATCAAGCTTCCACATCTTTGTCTCGACTTCCTATACCACATGCCGAACACACTTCTCCCATTTCTCCGCTGTGACTCTTTTCAAAGCCTCATCAAAAAGTACTTTGAGATCCGCAAATTTAAACGTGGTGTTATGCTGAGCTACAAAATTCTTCACATCCGCCTATATCAACTCGATGGGATTGAGCTCGCAGTGGTATGGAGGCAGGCGAAGGACAATTTTGTTTTGGCCTGCTGCCATCTCATCGACTATATATTTTTGGTATTCAAGCTTGCGCTCTTTGACAATTTTTAGGGGCTTTACTCTTAGCATTGAGTCTTCAAAGCTAATATTCTTTGATCGCAGCCAATTTTGGATTTCAACCTTCTTTGAAGACGTTGTCGGAATCTTCTCTAACCGTCGCGAATAATAAGGTGCACTGTCCATTACAATCACAGCATTATCCTCCAGATGGGGTAGAACTTTGAAAAACCACTGTTCGAAAGATTCACCGTTTATTTCTTCGTGATAATCTCAAGTTTTCTTTGACTCGAAACACCACAGCCCTTCAGCAACAAACCCATTCTCATTGCCGATGTGACATTGCCATTCTCATTGCCGTAAAACATTGTAAATCGAAGCGCAACACACTCCAATTTTATCGGAAACATTCGATACGACTTCATCGACAGTCGATGTCTCAATTTCTTCCATCTCTTTCTTGAACACATTTAAAATCACTCCTTTCATTTCAACAATCAAATATCTTTTTTGGAACCGTTCCCGGCCGGAACCAAAAGATAGCTCACAGTGTCATCAACAGTGTCTATACTGGACATCTTGGAAAACAATTTTAAACAATACACTATAACGCACGCCACACAAACACGCAAACGACTGATTACAACCTGGTACCGAACTCGTACCAAGAAGACGAATTCACCAATGAACGCTGCCCTTTCCATCTGACACTGGGCGATCACGTGAACGTCACGCTTCCAAACAGAAGCGACACACACTGCCTTCCGACAGTCCGAGTCTCTGCATATGATTATTCCCAGGAGAGCCAAGTCCAAAAAAAATACGCCAAGTTCTATCAAATTATTGGAATATCAAAGGGAGTTTTTTTAAAATTTCTGGAAACCTCCACATATGATCCCAAGAATACCTTGAGACAATTGGATTGTATCATCTGCCACAGATGACTCAAATATCACAATAATGCGTAGAATTTTGAATCTCTGATGTGGAATGAATCTATCGAAAACACTTCTTCCTCACCAGAAGAAAAATTATGTCTCTTGAAGCTTGTTTCGCTAACCAAGTTAGTTCGTTAGAGGAAAGGTTAAAGATTTATCTCTTTCTGTTTCATGTTTGTGGAATCAATTTGATTTCTGCAAATGAACAAAATTTATGGCTATTTAAATCCACCATTTTCTCACTAATGCCGCTCTCATAGTGTCCTGAAGAAATAGTTTGGGAAAAAGTTCAATGATTCTAACAAAATGGAGTTTGGTATTCCAGGAATTTCTTTGAAAACCTTAAAATATTTTCCAACTGCTCACTAGCCTTCTTGCTTCTTCTCAAATACAAGAGATTATGTACTCTAGCAAAATGTTATGGTTACTGTCGACATTTATCAGAAAAGGAGTTTTATGATGCCTATGAAAATTTACACTCGAAACTTAGAATATTACAACCCATGAACTATCCACATCTTTACATTTCATATGCATTACATGAATGGTTCCTACTTCTATGTTACAAAGACAATTCAATTGGTAAAAATTCGTGAAATATTCCTTCCTTCCTTCCTAAACACGAAGGTCTGGTTGGATAAACTATTACGAGTATAATAAGAATGCTTCATCTGGACAAGATAATGTAAAATCGTACAGCTTTTCATTTGTAGGAAGAGCTTTCTGAATTCCGTTATGGTCCCACCTACTAAATGTGCGTTCGTTGGAAGACTATGATTTGATAAGCTGTACTAGAGGCAGTACTCTTCAACTTCAACGTACTTGTATACTTTCTGCTACTATGCCAACTCAACTTTGTAACTAATTCAGAATTAACTTCAAATTAGTATTTTGTTGTCACTCTCTAAATGGCTGTCCATAACTTTGATTTTACAAAATTAGTTCTTCTATTACACTGTGGCTCCCTTTTTGCAGTTGGTCTATTTCTCTAATTATCATCTTTGGCGTAGTCTGAATGTCGAGATTAATATCCAAAGCTCTTTGAACTTGTGAGACATTGAAGATTCAATTCCATATTGTTTTCCTGGTCGCAAAAAAGGCCTTTGTTTTGTACTCTCTTCAGTCTTCTATTAAAAATCTGCCTTGGCTCCTCCTCAATACAAGGTTGATCCACAATGAAAACTGTCCTTGATTCAAATTCATCCCATCAAGTTCTTGAACTTGATGAAAATGGTCATTAGTTGATGATGCTGCCGTGCCCTCCTGAATCTATCTAGGCTTCGAGGAGAGAGTCTTTTCCACTCTCGAATGTCAAGGTCATACCAGCTTACCACAGTAAAGCAGAAATCTTGGCTGGACAAATGCAGAAGGATGTCATTCTTGGTTCATTACGTCTACTCAAGCATTGGATATACTTTCGGACGATATTTGGCTCAGCCAGAGCTGAAAACTATAAGTTGTCTCATTTTAATGATCGAAGAGGGCTACAGCAGGCTCAATCGCTTGTATGAGCGGTAAGTAATGACTATTTCCAATAAGTCCGGCACTTTCCTTTCCCTAAAACAGATTCAATATCAGCTGGAGTTTAAAGCAACACCGGTGACTCGTCAATACCGTAGGAGTGCCAAAGGTGCTAATAGAGCATTCTCAGTGCCGCATTATGTCGATGGATATAGGCTGAGACCGCACACGATCGACATACCGACAGCTAAAGCGTGAGACACTGGCATCTTATAGCAACGGTGTAACGGAGCTCTATATCCATCATGTGACTACGATAGACTAAGGTGTTCGAGACACTTTCCTGGCAGGCCATGATGAACCCCTCATTTCCCGACTTTAGCCCACACGACCTAAGGAAAGCAAAGGTCAGATGCTTTGATCACAAAAAACGTACATTATTATCCAATGTAAATATTTGAAATGTTAAGTTCTCACTGTATAAAAAAGGATTGATCAAAATGAATTTTGTTTTGCAAAGGTTTGTAACTTCAATACAGTCAGTCGTCCTGTAAGAAATAACCAATTTATTTTTAATTTTTTCAGCACTATCAGAATCAATAATTTCAGTTATTGAATATCTATCTTACTTCTCATTTCTTATCAATATTATAAAAATTAAAATTTGTGAGGATGGATAGATGTATGTTTTTATGTATATTTTTGGCTCTTTCACGCCTAATCGACTGAACGGATTTAGATGAAACTTCACATAAATACAGCTTATATATCAGAATAACATATAGATTAAAATTTACAAAGGTTTTGTGTAATTTTGGTCATAATATAACGATAAATGTTAAGTGAGTCAAGAATATATCTACCTCATTTGTGGCAACCGCTATATGTAAAATACTGAGCCATAAATACAATTGGATTGGATACTTTTTTTACAATGCACATTTTACAATATCTGTCAAATTACAATATTACAAATTACACAACTGTCGTGTTAACCACGGTCAATTTTTTTGAAAAGTAAATCAATTTTCAAAGTTTTTAGGTGCATACTTTGGGGATGACACTGTATATAATACTTGCTAATAACAGCCTCGGCTGAACTTCGCCCTTTCATTGATTTTTGTATCTACTTCTTCTTTTTTATAAACAATGTATGTATCGTTTAAAAGTTATCACGATAAGATTTACTTGATGCAACGCAGTATGCCACTACGCGTCGCGTCTACTGTAAGACGACGGGGTTAGAGGGGCGGTCTAAGCAATGAAGCGCTATCGCCGAGAACGCGACCCGAACGCGGGCAGACGTGTGAGGGCAGACGTTTTTGACGGTTATGTTAGTTTTGCGAATTTCTTTATAGGTAACATAATTCAATTCTCGAAGCTATTCATCACTTAGTGCAGTTGGCATATTTTTCAGTTAGTGTATTTCTAAAGTAAAATGAATAAATGACTTGCAATTGCCGCTCTAATATTAACGTACAGCCGAAGCTACTGAGCCTAGAATCTTGAAATATACAGGTAGGTTCTTTGTATAGCGTAAATAAGCATCAAGAAAGGGAATCAATAATTTCCACCTCCAATGGAGGAAAAAAAAGGTTCAGAAATTGTATTGACTTTCGTCAGTTTTGAAGTTGAAAACCTGTAGATTTGGGTTGATAAAAAAATATTGTAACTATTTGTTCAAAATGGTCTATCACGAAACTAAATGTGACAAATTAAATTATATGCGGGCGAATCCGCGGACAACTAGTATTTGATATATTCAAAACGTGTTCAGCAAACCATTTTTAGTTTTCTAATTAGGAGAAATTACATATAGAACTTATTTTACCACTGTCAGCGTTTTATTGGTCTTATTGAACGTGGCTCTGAGAGTTATGTCAGTTATTATTATTTACAGCTTATACAGACAAACCAAATTTTAAGTGGGCGAAGCCGCGGACAACAACTAGTAATCATATATGCTAGAATTGCTAGAATATTGAGACAATTTTGTATTATTGTTTGAACACTTTTCAGATTGTGAGAAACTTTCATCTGCTGCTAGCGACACAACTAGTCTACGTAGTCATATGCCAAAATGCCAGATCGTACGATACGAGCGAATGGGTACCTATCACTCAAAAAACAAATGGAGAATCCGTTTCCAAAAGAGCGACTGGGCGAGTCCTAAACCTGGATGCTTCCGCACAGAATTTTTTTCCAGAGGAGGAATATCGGTTTAAAAAACGTCGACCCAACTCTCAACAGCACATAAAACAGAAGGATAGATTCAACGCCCCTAAATATGAAAGCAGTTATAAATTCGAGGAAACACAACCAGTACAACAAAATGGTAAGCATGTTGAAAAATCTTTCCAAGATCTATATCAAAATTCGAAACAATATTATTTATTTGCAATATGCATTTGATGAAAATCTATAATGAAAGTGTTCAAAAACACTTCGTTGTGACATTGTCAGAAAACAGTTATACAGTGCATTTCTTTAATGCCCCCCCTTTTTATTTTTTGAACACCGGAAAAATGCTTCACAACCCTAGAATATAATTTCAATATTTTCAACTACTACAAAATGTCGGAAATTTTAATAATTGCCTGAACACATTGACATTTACCTACATCATATGAGGTAATAAACTTGAGGTCAGTTCAGAAGATGCTCGAAATGGTTGCCTTGAACTTCTTGACATATGAACAGCCTATCCGATATTCCACGCCGAACAGTAACGTCAATATCTCTACAGATATTCATTATTCTCTGCCGTATGTCCTTTTGCTTCAAATAGCCCCATAAAAAAGTTCAAAAGTGTCAAATATGGTGAGCAGACTGGCCATTCTGTAGAACCTCGACGGCCAATCCAACGACCGGGAAAAGTAGTATCCAAATAGTTTCTTACTTATCTGGAGTAATGTGGTGGTGCTCCATCTTGTTGGAATACAAAATCCATATCGAATTCATTAGGATTCGCTTCGACGATTTCAGTGATGAGAAGGTCAACAGTAGTTTCCAGCATTTTCAAATACAGTTCCTCTGTTGAATTTTGATCAATAAATAGAGGTCCTACAATATGGTTTCCCAATATTCCTGCCCAAACGTTAATTTTTTCTTGATATTGGGTATGTGTTTCCCTGAAAACGTGAGGGTTGGTGTCACTACAATAACGGCAATTTTGTCTGTGAACATTGCCGTTTAAAAAAAATGTCCATTCGTCACTAAAACAAATATTTTGGAGAAAGGTAGGATGCCTTGCAATGGTTTCCATCATGATTTCGCAGAATTCTGTTCTTCGATCAGGGTCATCTTCAGTTAATTGGTGTACCATTTTAATTTTGTATGGATGATACATATTCACCTTCAAAATCAAAAGTCTCCACACAGTAGAATGAGACACCTCACAAACATTCGGGACGGAATAAGTAGACTATTCAGGATTTACTACCATCTCACCAATTATTTTCACTTGCTATTATTCCGGAATGGAAGGATGACCTGGGGGCCTTTTGGTATGTACACTACCGGTAGTTGTGAATTCGGATACAAGTTCCCTCAAATATTTTCTACAAATAGGACGATTCGGAAAAAGTTCATTGAAAATCCTTTCGATCTCGTGAAAGTTACGTGTTTCACCATACATAAAAATCGCTTCACTTTTTTCTTCCAATGGACGAGATTGTTGACGTGGTACCTTTCTACTAGTAAAACCTAAACTACATGACTTAATGAGAATAATCTAACTGAAGAATGATGCTCATTGTTGTAATGATATTTTTTGTCGTTTTTATAAAAAAATAACTTAACAAACCTTATTGGGTTGTTGGAATTGCCATGTGGCAGATAAAAAGGATTATTTCTAGAAATATCGATATTAATGTGTTTGTCTTCAGGAAATTATTAAATGTTCCGCCATTTTGTATTAAATGAAGATATTGACTTCATATTTCAGGGTTGTGAAGTATTCGTCAGGAGCTTCAAAATGATGTATCACAAAATCCCCCTTTCTATTTATTTTTTTTCCAGATGGCGCCCAGTCGCCATCTTGGAAGTTTCATCTGTCAGTGTTACTTCAAAATAAAGTATTCATGCATCAATTTCATTATCCCAAATTCCAATATTTTGAATTGACCCGTTCAAAAAATAAAAGGGGTGACATTGAAGAAATGCACTTTAAAACTGCGGTTTCTTTGAATAAAGTCATAATCAACTGACTTCAACTGATTTCTAGGTGTGCGGTATTTTGGAAACCAAGACATCAAACTACCAAACTACGAACAGCCTCCCCCCATGAATCCTTATCGTCCACCCCCAAAGCAGCAATTCACTCAAAATGCTCAGTCAGGTGGACTGAACACCAGAGAAACTCCAAACTTATATGAACAGTCCAACATACCCCTTAATGCAAGTAGTTTGTACCAATCTCTCAATCCTGGATCGATTAATCAAGAACTCGGAGCATTTCAGTTTTTGCAGAATGTTAGAGACGTTTCAAATGTCCAAAATACTCAGCAACACATGATCAAGGGTACTCTTTCGCCGAAAACACAGAAAGGAGAAGTACAACTGGTGTATGTACCTTTGGAAAACTTGAAGCCTAATCAACCAATTACACAAGATTCACAAACTGTTTACAAACAGGTATACAAAGTTTGAGCAAAGGTTATAATTACATTTTAACTTTTACCTAAAAAATAACTCTTCAAATAACACAACTGATGATTGAAGATCTTTCTATTTCTACATTTTAACTGAGAATTATAATCATATATCAAAATTATATTCAAATCCATTTTCTCAGATGATATAACGGAATAATATCTGTCGCCGTTTTTATTTGTGTAAAAGTTTTTCCACAGATTCACCCCCAAAGATACGACACTATAATTCCCAACCAGCAAGTTCGACTTGAAGCAATAGAAAATGACTTCATCCAACAAGCACTTCAGGCTCAAAGACTCCAACAGCAAATACAGGAAGGTCAACCCATTTTTCTGCAACCAACACCAATACCAACACAAACACCAACGAAGAAACGCAAAGCTCATCAGCCACCCCTCTCTGTCTACATTGAAGGTGTGAAACAAGCCGATGTTGGAGATGTTTTAGATGTTCTGAAAGACGCCAAATCTATAGCTGTGCAAGACAGTATTCAGGCAGACTCTCCCCAGATATTCATTGGTCCATCATCGTTGAGTCCTCCAGATGGATACACGAAATTTCCATTACCCTATTTGAATAATATCAATGGTAATAGGGTTGAGAGGAAAATTGACCACCTGCCATTCTTCGTTGCTCCTCTTAGCTTCAAAACTCCGCCTGGTTTCTCCAAAATACCTCTGCCATCTCCCCATGTAGGTTCCGTGGTGATCTCTAATAAAGAAGACCTACATGGAAAAAGATCGACTCCAAAGCAACACCACATATCCCAAAATAAGAGGGGACAGATAACCTCTTCTAGTACAAACACTCCACTAGTGGACAATGTAACACCTCAGGCATATTTTGGTCAAAACTTTTATAATGAAGGACATTTTCTAGCGCCTAAACCTGAATTGTTACATTTTACACTAGATGATATTGGGGACTACCGAATACCCTCTTCTACATATTCGCCAGAATCATTCTTTGCTCAGTATAATTCTGAGTCAAAAAATCCACCAACAGGAATGACAAAGTATGATTTGGATAGAGAATTATCTTCAATAGGTCGACTAGCAACAACAATTCGTCACACAGTTGGTCAAAAAAACGAAATAGAATCAACTACTAGGAATTCGATAGAAGGACAGCTATTTCCAGCAGACGTACAACAGATTAAATTACCCCCAGAAACAAAGCCCTATTCAGATAATCATTATTTCGATGAAATACCATCCAGAAACCAGCAAGTTTACCAAACTCCGACACATTCAGCTGACCACGAAAACAAAATAAAGCATTTTTCAAAATCAAACCACAAAACACGATATGAACCAATTGCTACAACTCTGGATTCTAGTTATAATAGTGAAGATTCAGAAAGTCCACTAGTCAAAATTGAACCAAAAGTTACCAGTCCCAGTCCAATTGCACATGTTTCTGATGTATACACAGAATCAGATCGAAATACCCCAAAAGTTCCAGACGTGAGTCCACTTGAATTAGCAATAAATGAGTTCGAACTGTACCAAATCAACTCTCAACTTCAAGAAAAACCTAGGCCGAAAAGTCAATACAACCCCGTTTTCCAGTTGAAGTCCAATACTCGAAATCAACATCAAGAAAATAGAAATCACTACCAACAATCAAAAACTGAAAAACCGGAATATAAATTTGATCCTGAACTCCACCGATTCGCTAGTACTCCAGCTTCGATTCTGAGGGACAGTTACGATGAAACAACAGTACGACCAGCGAATAAATCGAGGAGAAGGGGGCGGCCAACTAAGCCTACAACAACAACAACAACATCCCGACCAGAAAAGAATAGTTATACAGTATTAGAGGAGTTCACCGCAAGACAGCCTTCAAACGCAGATTATTCCAAAATAACAGGGCATTCCCAAGCACATGATCAGTTCAGGACACCTGAATATTCCAAAGAATCTGAATATTCTAGAGAATCAGAGTTCACCGCGATGAAGTCTTCAACTCCAGAGTATTCTAGTGGAACACAAGATTCTCATTTACCTAGCCAATCTAAAACATCCGAATATCCCAGAAATCCTGAATATTCTAGAGGACCAACGTTTACTGCAAGAGAGCCTTCAAAACCAGAGTATTCTACAGAAACTGAAGAATATCGAACACCTGAACAACCTAGAACACCTGAATTCTCCAAAGAACTAGAGTATTCTAAAGGATCGGTGTTCCCAGCAAGAAACCCTCCAATTTCTCAATTTTCAAGAGAACCTGGATTTTCTCGAACTCCTGAGCAGACTAGAGCATCTCAATATTCCAAAGAACCTGAATATTCTAGATTACCTGAATTTTCTAGGGCACCCGGCATTCAGTATGCAACCGAAATTGAAGAAGTACCGGCCCACGTTCGCGTTTTGACAACACCTACACCTACTCGTGGTACTACGACTAATTCACAATACCAACCTCAAAGAGATGAAGTTGAAGCAATACCAGCAAGAGTATACAGTTTGAATGTGAATGATAATCACCAAGTGTACAATGGAGGGGTATTATCACAAAACCAACATCTCGATCAGACATTGATGGATCAACAAATCCTCAAGGGTACAGTCAGACAAGAACGCCCTCAGTATGATGCCAACTCTAATCCTAATCACTATAGTGAACAGGCAGATATTCAGCCTCTGGTACATAACAGAGGACAAGGTCTTAACTATCTTGAGAATATCAATGAGAATAGAGATTCCAATCAAGTTTTTGGATATGATATCAGTCTGGAAGATCCTTCTGTTCGATCGCTGCTGAAGCCGAACTTGTTGGTTCCAACAACTACAGATGAGGCGTCGTACTCAGCTCCAAAATATCTACCGACGACAGAGGAAATTTCATCGACCTCTACTACTACTACTACTACAACTACTACTACAGAGAAATATCAGGAGACTACGACTAGAGGGCGTGGTAGGGGTAGGCAGAGAGGTGGAAGCAGATATGACTCGCAAACCACCAGAAGGACCGTTTCTAGGAGAAGGCCAACACATTCTCAACGTACCACTACTGAGAGCTATTCGGCAGAGACTGGTGGCACCAGGAAAGTAAATTCTAGACAGAGGTTCAGAACAAGAGGTCGTGTAACTCCAAACGCTATTACAGAGCGGTTGTCAACAACAGAAAATGAGGTAGGTTTCATTAAAAATATGATCGTAACGTTGAAGCTTGTTCCTCTTCATTACAAAGAATTGGATAGAAAACTTATTTTTATAGTAACCTTTCATAACAATATAACTTGAAATAATTAAAGAAGGGCTCTATTTTTTTATAAAGTATTCAAAAACTATTAGTGATAGAGAAATTCGCAAAAAGAGTCATACACGCATATAACTCAGAAAAAAATATTTTCATTTCTATTTTCATTCATTGTTGAATTTTATGTAGTTTTGTATCATTGGTATATTGATCTGAAGGAAAAATTGAGAAGGGAAATGCGTTTTCGTCATGTTCTCAAAAAATAAGTTTGTTGTAAATTATTATAGACTTCTTATTCACCTTCAAAATGTAATAATTGTCAAACAGCTTCAAATCATTTCACTTTGTGCAAACATTGTTCATTTCAATCGAGCTATCAACATAAAGAGTTTAAAGAAATTGTCAAATGGAAGTTAATTTTTCACATAATTTTCAGATGTAAGATAGCTAGCATAACGTCTGTTTTGTTTTTTTAGGCAGACAGTAAGATAATTTTATTAAAAAATGGCAATTAGTGATATGGGAGGTTGGTTTAAACCAACTAAGTGAACCTCGCGGCACTCTATTTTTGATATTTAATGATCTAACAAGATTAGAGAAAAAGCTCTGTGAGATTGTGTCTTTGGAAATTCTTTCTTCCCTTAAACATTTTTCCGTCATCAGTAGTTTTCAGTGTGCTAAATCGTAGCCCCATTTTTGGAATCTCCAATTGTATATATGCAATTGTTCAAGCAGTACACAGTATTGAAAAAATTAGTACGCTATTTTGTTATATTATCTTCAACAGAGGTCTGAAAGTTTAATTTTGTTTCAGATATAGTATAAATTCACCTTTAGGAAACGTCTAAAACTTGGCACTCTACTGTCTGAAATACCAATTTCAATGTTTCCTTTTTGTGCTAAAAAACAAAATCTGGGCTGATAGGCCGTGGCCAAATGGAACTTGTAGTAACAAACGTTTCGTCTACTACTACAGCAGACATCATCGGTGTCGTATGCGACCACGATCTACCAACCAGATCGTGAAAGCCTATGTTCTTATTTTATGCTAAGAATTTTATTCATCGAATTATGTCTCAGAATAACATTTCTTACATTTTTGAGATTTCTTTGTTATTTCAGATACACAACAGTCCAACATCAGAAGCTGCTGTACAAATTGCAACTCACCCAACTGGACCACAATCTTATACGAATTACGAAAAAAGTGTTGACTATAAACCTAACGTCGAAATCAGCGAAAATCAGCATACACTAGATGCGTTCTCTCGTCGTCCTATTGTAGAGTATGAAAACACTGCAACCACTTCAACCCCTATAATAGATTATAAAATTTCGCACAAAGAACTTCATCAAAATCATGTAAACCAAGCTGCAACTCAACACCATACCGAAACACAACCTGAAGTTGTTTATAAAAAAGAAGAAGAAATTCCAAGAGAAACAGTAAGAGTGCGGGGAAGAATCAGAGGCAGGCCAAAACCAACAATCATCACTTCTACTACTGAACCCATAACGACTAAAAGGACAACAACGCCGACACAAGTTGAAACCGAAAAAGAAGAAGAGTTTTATGGATTCTTCAGGCAACCAAACTTCAGCTCCCAACCGGCGTTCTCAGCTGAAGAAACAATAACTACAGAGAAGCCCAGATTCCACCATGACAATTATAACAGTGAAAATAGCCTTGCTCCTAGACAGTTCGATAATACAAATCTTGACTCGACCACTCTACGGTTTGTTGGGGAAATTGTACCAAAATACCAAACCACCAGTAGAGAGGTACAAGTAGAACCAGAAACCGAGGCACCTAGACCAAGGATAAGGGGACGAATAAAGGCTCCTCAAAGAACTAGCCATAGAGGATCGTACGAAGACTCTAGATCTCAAGAACAATCAACTAGGCGAACAAACGTTATCAGATCTCGAGGTAGAACTCAGTTTCAGCTTCCAGATAGTTTGAGAAAAGAAAAGGATGAAGATGATGTAGTAGGAGGTAATTATCCACCATCATTTTTCCAGAACAAACAACAGTATACGACTCGGGCTCCAACTTTTCAAATAACCGTAGATCCTTACGGTGAAGAAGAATCCGATCAAGCTCCACATCCGTCCATATTTAGACCCAATGTTGTAAGACCCGACGAATGGCATGATGCATCTCAATATGATGCAGGTGATAAAGGTAAAAAATTCGTTATTTGCATCTGTTTTCCATCTATTTTGAAATTTAACGCTTTTAAGATTGAATTGATTTGAAACTTTATTCATCGATATTTTTGTTTTGCTTTCACCAGTTGCAATTTCAAAAATGAAGATCAAAGGTAGCTAATTTAGCACAATAGCACAATAAAATTATTGTGACTTGATATGGAAACGAGAAATGATATGGAAAAAAATATACGTGATTTTCTGCGGGTGACATGGGACATATTGTAAGAAGATGAATGAACAACTTACTCTTCCTCTTTTCTTGTTCTTCCATGGCTTGCTTCATTTTTCTTTCCTGTTCTTCAGGACCTTCTTTTTCTTTCCATTTTTTCACATAGGGAGCATTGTGCTATGTGCATTTCCATCAGCCATGTTACGTACGTACGTTGAAAAAGCCCGTTGGACGTTGTTCACAGTTGATGCCTGAGGGAGCAGATGTCTGTCAACCCCAGCAAAACTGTGTTAATCCCCTTCACCAAGAGAAGGATGTTGGACGATCTAACGCCACTTTCCCTCAATGGTGTGGTCATTCCATTTGGAGCGGAGGTGTAATATCTTGGCATTGTCCCTAATGAAAGACTCACCTGGAACGCTCACTTGGAAAAAGTTTCACACAAAGCCAGACTGTCTCTATGGACATGTCGAAGGATTTGTGGTAAAACTTGGGGTTTAGGACCCAAACAAATCGATTGGATTTATGTGATGATTGTCAGACCAATGATCACGTATGGTGCAATTGCTTGGTGGCCGAAGGCTTTACAGAAAACGGTCCAAGCGAACCTCTCTAACTTACAGACACAGACTTGTCTGGCTATCAGTGGTGCTATCAGTATCACACCGTCAGCGACCATGGAGATCCTTCTAGATCTACCTCCTCTCCACATTTATCTGGAAAGACTGTCTGCATACAGACTTGTTCACATTGCCAATTGCACAAATCAATTCAATGCAGAGTGCAACAGACTGTTGGTTGACATTGAAAGTCACAGCATTCTGGAAATGACCTCTGACTTTATGCCTCCAACTATCAACTACGAACTGCCCCATAAAGTACTATTCCCGAGTAGAGAAGACTGGATCCTGCAGGAGAAGGAAATATTAAGAGCAGATAGTTGTTGGTTCACAGATGGATCAAAAACACTTTCCGGTTCTGGAGCAGGTGTTTTCAGTCGCAGACCCAGGACAGGTGCAGGTGTTTTCAGTCGCAGACCCAGGACAGAGTTATCTACCGGCCTAGGAACTTATGCGACTGTATTTCAAGCGGAAATTTACGCTATTGAATGGTGTGCGGAGAGATTGGATAAATCCAATCTCACTCACAAGTCAATAAAAATATTCTCGGACAGTCAAGCGGCCTTGGTTCCCACCGAGCAACATCTAAATTGGTAGCAAACTTCCAAAAAAGACTCCTCGATAGGAAGACTAAACAGATTGTCTGTGGTCTGGATTCCTGGCCATACTGGCCTGGAAGGCAATGAAGCTGCTGACTCTCTTGCAAAGGAAGGTGCTGCAAGCGGCTTCATTGGACCAGAACCTGTCATTGGCATCGCTTTGAGCTTTGCCAAACAAACACTCAACACCTGGATGGCAAGAAGAGTTATGGACTTCTGGCAGAATCTTCCAGAATTTGATCACTCCAAGGCGTTTATTCACCCTTCGAAGCTTGATTCCAAACAGTTGTTGGACTACAGTAGAGATGAACTACGATGTCTAACAGGCCTTCTTATAGGTCACTGTCATTTGAATCATCACATGCAGAGACTTGGACTGTCGGAAGACAATGTGTGTCGCCTCTGTCTGAAAAATGATGAAACTGCAGAGCATATACTTTGTGCCTGCCCCGCTGGGGACTGAATCAGGTTCTTTGAGTTCGGCAGATCCGTACTCTCACCATCTGACCTGAAAGACCACTCACCATACAAACTAATCGGCTTCGTTAAGAAGCTGGGTTTATTTGTCCGAGTGTGAAAAGGTGTGAGGCACAATAAACCCTTATGGGTTGCGGTGGAGGGTCGAATAGACCCACTCACTTCAGACCTACCTACCTACGTACGTTGAAGAATCAATCCACCTTCTGAAGGAATTGACGCGAGGAAAATATTTGATAAAAGCTGAGCATTTCGCTTGAGAAACGGGCAGCGAATTTATCTTTCTTGCTACTCTAGTTTGTGTTGTTCGACCTTCATTAAAATGTTCTTATTCGTCTAGATGTTTATAAAGCTCATGTTCTTGTCTCATTGTCTCCAGAATATCTACCCACCCTCGATTTTTTCATAATTAATTGCCAGTGTATAAGAAAAGCGGCGGTACTCACGTACAAAATGGATGTGACATCAGTATAGCTTTTTTTAGTTATCAAGGAAATAAGAAAATACAAAATCTGTAACATTTCAAAAGATCATTTACTGTCACCATAGTTGTTACTAGTTGTGTTACTTGAAAATGAGTTCTTATATTGATTACTCAAATAGTAAAGCAACATCACGGTTAATAATGAAAAATCGGAAGATGCTTATGAAAAACAAAAAAAGTTCATTAAATGTATAGAAAAGCCAAAGGTAGCAAACACAGATAAATGAGTGGAACTTGCTTTTCTGCAGAAAACGTCGACTCTCCATTTGGAATTACAATATATGTGAAGCAAATGACTAACAACTTCAAAAATAAAGGTACACTTCGTGGTTCCTCTTTCGGTGCACGTCGTACCTCCTTGGGTGGCGTCTCCCAGCAAGAGCGCCTTCTGCTTCCAAATAGCAAAGGGATACCGCCATTTTATGATGAAATATCGCAGCAACAGCAGACTTCATAGTGGTTGCTTTGAAGGCACGAACGATACTACAGGACAAGGGGATATTCCACCTCCAGCCAGGAAATCGCGAAATATGTCACCGGCCTCATCGTTACATATTTCGCTCAGAAGTACTGAGTGCGTATTCATTTGTAACGAATAATCCGTAAACATGTAACGTTACGTCTAATAGGGAACAGAGTAGTAGTGCATGTTATCCATCAACCACTTTAACACGCGTGATTCATTGAACCCAAACCACAATTTTTCCTACTTATATTCCCAAATAGTCGCTGAACCCTGTTGTTTTTACCGATTCGCTTTTGTTTCGTCAAAAACTATTGCGAGAAATGAGATGGACTCAACTTTGTACACATGTTAATAGATGGTACGCGCGTATTTTGTTCAAATCTTTAATTCACACACCATAATGCAAAGAAAAATCCTTTACCTAATATCAGTGTATTGCCAAATATAAACTTCTTTGAAAATTGAAGTGTCAACTTGACATAATCAAGCTGTATCACTTGAGTTGTAGCTACTCAGCACCTCTGTGAGTGAAATATAGAATTTTATTGAATTCCTTTATTTTTCCTTCATCAAGAGTGCTGTAGGTTGAAATTTTTTGTCACAATATTTCACACACAGGGTGTTTAAAATTCGATCCTCACCATTGGGATCTCGGAAACTATGAGAGATACGAAGATGGTTAAATTGGGGCAAAGTAAAGTTGCACATTTATCTAACTAGCAACATACCATTGAGAAAGTTCTGAAATTTCGAGTATATTCGGAGATACACTCACTGACATTTTGTTATTGTACAAGCCATTGAATTTTTGACGAAAAATGGCTTTCACAAATGAAGAAAAAAGATATATGATACAAATGTATTACAAATACGATAGAAACAGTGTTAGGACATCGGAAATGTATTTAAACTTGTTTCCCGGCTCTTCAAAGGAACCAAACTTGGTGAGATTTTGATCCAATAACTTGAACATAGTTCGATTATGGTTGTCGTCTTTCGGGATATAAGTTTAAATACATTTCCGATGTCCTAATACTGTTTCTATGGTATTTGTAATAAATTTGTATCATATCATATCTCTTTATGTATGTATCATATCTCTTTTTTCTTCATTCGTGAAAACCATTTTTCGCCAAAAAATCAATGACTTGTACAATAACAAAATGTCATTGAGTGTAACAAATTGAAAGTCAAATTTAGAAACATCAAAGTCAAAGCCTATTATGATGATTTTTTTCAATATCTCCAATTTTTTCAAAAAGAATGATAACTTATGATATATCATTGAAAAGGAATATCTGGTTCTATTCAAAACAGAAAGAATACAATATAACGCCAATTTTCCGACATTACTATTTTTTTCCGGATATACTAGGAATTTCAGAACTTTCTCTAAATGCGCAACTTTGCCCCACTTTAACCATCTTCGTATCTCTCATAGTTTCCGAGATCCCAATGGTGAGGATCGAATTCAAAACACCTTGTGTGGAAGAGGGTCCAAGTAGTCATCGCAACACGGTATTCTATGAATCTTGAATCAACTATAACATTTTGCTGTTGATTTTGTTGATTTCATCAAATATTTTGATTTTAGATCATAGCCTTCATTTTAATAGGGTGTGTTCATTTTTTTTTCAATTCTGTTCAAATTTGAATACACTTCCGCATAGCAGTAATAATCATTTGTGGAATATTCATATACAAAATTTACACCAGTTTTACTTCAGTTTTCAAATACAATAGATATATTGAAAAATTAATATGTGTTCTGTCTGAGAACCGAAATGGTGTGGCTTATGTTATATCGTGATTTCTTCAAAGTATATATTTATGAATATTTTACAGGACAAACCTTGGGAAACGTACTTGAAACTGAGAATAACCAACCAGAGGAAAACACGCAAGTAACGACTTCAGCTCAACCTATAGCGCTACCGATAAAAGCCAGTACCGAAGACACTACAACAGCAACCAGGGAAGAGACCTATAGAGAAAATATCAAAGCCGCAGAGAAAATTTTCGAAACTATCAACAACAACTTTGATAAAGTGGATGAAACTACAAAGAAGCAACTACAACAGAAGAGACGTAGGAAAGGTGTATGGAAGTTGGTAAAGCAGCGCCCTGTGGATCATTTAGCAGCAGCCGAGTCACAAAATTACTACTCCGTTCTCAACTCCTACCAGGAACTTCAACGAACTAACGCCAAAAATGGTATCTATCAAGATGACAAATCATCGAGTGGTTTCAAAAATTATCAGAATTCAGATTATCAGGAAAATTCTCAAGACGGAACTATTCCTGACACTACAACTGCTGTAGCAGAAAAGGATAAAACTGCGACTGATGCTCCATCTGACGACACTAGCACTGTGTTAACAACGGAAGGAGCTGAACAAGAAATAGATATTACAACACGCATTCCTATAGAGACAAATAACCTGTCCAACACTTCGGTCCCTGAAGAGGGAAGTTTCTTCGACACAATATACGAAATGTTTGGCATATCAAGTAAAGAAAAGACAGCATCACTTACAACTATACACTCTGAGGCGGAAGAAGAAGAAGTTACTACCTCATCTACAACAAATGTCTCTCCTACATTTCCTGAAGAAATGACAGAGACCCCGACAAGTACTGACACTCAAAACGTCACAGACATACTTGTAGACACAACGACTGATCAAGAGGTCACAACAACTACTAAACCCGATTTGAAAAACTTTGAAGTTGAACCTTGGGAAATGAAAGCTGTGCGTACTTCAACGTCCACCGAGATTTCACATGAAACTGAAATTTGCTACAAGGGTAAATGTGTCAAGTCCCGTGACAAGAAAAAGAGGTTATAGAAGTGTTTCAAATGTGTGAGTGTGTCTGTGTTTTTTTTGTAAATATAGGTAAGAGTGAGATGTACAAGCTCCCACAATTTCTGTTGTGAGAGAATTTTCAACTGAGACTATTTATTATTAATTGATTATAATTTCGAATATTTTTGAACGAGAATTGAATGAATTAACATTTTCCATCCATCTGTTGATATCGTCCAAATTTGTTCAGTTTTCGATCGTGTGTAAAAATACATATTATTTTATTAAATGGTAGTTTCATTGTGTCCTAACAAATGTCTTGAAAACATTCTCTAAGAAAAGCAAATGAATAAACCCATTTTTATTTTTTTGTTCCCAAAATTAAATCGGTACGTTATTCGAAGAATAGTAACAAAGAAGAATCTCGGGGTGAATGTGATGCTTCCAAAAACAGTTTCAAAGAAGCGGTTCAGCGGAAGGGGAGTGACGTTACCAGATATACGAAATGCGAAGCCATTAGTTTCAGTCTTTTCTGTGCAAAACGTTGATCGTTAGTATTCATTTTCCTATGTTTTGGAATACACAGCTGTACTTATTTAACCTGAAATGCACTAAAAAAATGTTGGCAAAAATGAGAAAGTTAACAAAGCCTTGCCAATAGCTATGCGAAGAAAAGGGTTCGTTAAATGATCTTATTTTTGTTACAAAGAGCATTTTAATATAAAGCTATCATTATTTATTTGTGATAATGAAATAAATGCATCTATCCGGTAAATGCAATTCTTGGAATCGCAGTCCGCGATTGGTGGCCTGGTTTTCGTGAGGCTGCTACGAATAGCGTTCCCAGATCTAAAACAGGTTCTGGTGTTATACGTGGACCCAATCCTTCTTATCCTATCCGAAAATCCTCTGATGTAGGGAAGTACTAGTACTGATTGTGGCGGCTTTTCTTCCTAGTGAAGCTCTTGCTGTCTTCTAGCTAAAACCTGTTCCACCATCACTTTGGAGTAACCATTCCGTTGAAAGTCATTTTTGATAATGCCTAGTTCCTTTTCGAGACCTTACTTTGTATTACAGAGCCCGAAAGCACGGTCTAGTAGAGTCTTGATAATTCCTCTCTCAGTCGATTGAAGATGGTTGGGTTCCTGGTTCAGATACTGTCCTGTGTGGGTGGGTTTTCGGTATACATATGTTTCCCATTTAGCGTCGGTTCTCTTCAACAATACGTCTAAGAATGGCAATTCATTGTGGACTTCCTTCTCCATTGTGAAATTGATGGAAGGACTAACGTTGTTGATGTGCTTCAGCAAAGTGTCTAGTTCTGCATTCCCATGATTCCATATTATGAAGGAGTCGTCCACGTATCTCAACCAGACTAGGGGCTTCTTGTGGGTCTCCTCAATGGCAGTCCTTTATCTTGCGTAAAGAATTCGTCCTTTAGTTGGAAGCAGCAGTTTCGTACACAGCATCCTAGTAATTCCATGATTACTTGTATCGGTAAGTTTGTTGTATCTATCATCATCTAATCTAAGAAAAAAACGCGTTATTTTTTTCAAAATTGACTTTATTCATCAAGAACGACACAATTATTCCAGCGCCGTTCTAACATTTCAATACCACTTTTGTAGAACGATTTATCTTTTGCCTCAAAACAGACCTCAGTTTCAGCAATAACCTCTTCATTCGAGCGAAATTTCTTATATCGGTGAGCATTTTTTAGAGGTCTTCAAATAGCCAGTAGTCGCTGAGGGCAAAATCTGGCGAATATGGTATATGCGAGAGCAGTTTGTAATACAATTTCATGCAACTTTGCCATCGTTGTCATTACTTTGAGACATTGTGCATTGTCTTGATGAAGCAGCATTTTTTTATTCTTCAAATGGGGTCGTTTTTCCGCAATTTCGGCCTTCAAACGCTCCAATAATGCTATAAAATATTCGCTGTTGATAGTATTTCCCTTCTCAAGATAGTCGATGTATATTACACCACGCACATCCCAAGATACCGAGGCCATAACCTTTCCAGTCGATTGTTGTGCTTTCTGGTGCTTTGGACGAGGTTGCTCTCCATTCAGATGACGATCGTTTTGGCCATCCAAAAATTAGATCGAATATATCAAATGCAACGATTAGCTTGTTTAAACATCACAGGAGCCATGAGAACAACATCAACGTCGACAATGGGGTTAATCACTAGTCTGTCCCCTCTGGACTTGATCGTTGAGGATGTTGCGTTAATGGCCATGTTACGATTGCGCACGGCTGGTGTAAACCTAGAAATAGGAATGGGTCAATTGTGGCTGAGCCTATGGCGAGAAGCGCTCTCTGCGCAACCTCTACTGCAGGCAACCAGTGATGCAATTGAACCCAGGTTTGTGTTTAATAAACCCTACAAATTGAAAATAAAACAGAACACAAAGTCAGATACTATAAATGCAATACGCATATATACAGACGGCTCAAAAACCAAAGAATGCTCAGGATGTAAAGTGTACTCCGGATCACTAAGCCTAATGATTGAGTGGAGAATGGAAAAAATACCAACGTGGTTCAAACAGAACTGGCTGGTATATCAAGTACCACAATAAAAATCTGCACTAATGGCAGACAAGCCCTATTAGCCTTGAACAGACGTGTTACCAAAGGGCTAGTAATAGAGTGCCACCAAGATTTAGCCAAAGCCGCGATAGATAATAACATTATCCTGAGGTGGATTAAAGGGCACGACAGGATTAAAGGTAATCGCTTTGCCTTCTCTTTAGCCAAGGAATCGGCTGGACTAAGAATTTTAGGACCCAGTGGCACATACGGCCTGATGACTTCGGCAATTGCGGAGCTAGCCAAACGTTACACCCATGCTCAATCCCTAAAGAGATGGAATGGAATCAAAGGATGCAATCTTGCCAGGATTACCCTGGGCGACCCTAGGAAGCTGGCGCCGAAGAAATATCTGGTGATCACCAAAAAAAGTCTACGCTTAACAGTAGGATTTCTGACTGACCACTGTCAACTAAGAAAACACCTCCATAATATGGGGCTAGTGGACACATCTATATGCAGGATGTGTGAACAGGAAGATGAAACTGTCAGGCATATCCTATGCGAGTGCCCGGAGTTATCGTCAATAAGAGTATTGGCCTACACCTGCCAATATAAAGGAGATGTCTCCTCGTGATCTGTCCACCTTCCTGGAAAAGACAGGATGAACGATGACCTAGGAGGACAACTCCTCAGGAGGATGTGCAATGGGTCACATGTGGCCTAAGTTCTGTGGGCCTACACTCACCCTCCCTACTCTACAGATACACATACTTTCGGAAATGAAAAATCCGTTAGGAATTTTATCAAGTCCTTGACAAAACGAACCAAGTGCTTGAAAGAAAATATTGAAAAAACTTCCCCGAAACACAATTAAAAAACCTTACGGCAATGTGCGTACAAACTTTTAAAGATCTTGGGACAGTACCTGTTTCCACATGTACCCCTGAGAGAATTTTTTCTTCTCTGAAACGCCTCAAAACTTATTTGAGAAACTCTACAAGCCAGGAACGACTAAACGGTTTGGTGTTAATGTCAATCCACTGTAGAATTGACATCGATACCGAGGAAGTAATTGATTTGTTTGCTGCAAAGAAAGCTAGAAAACTAAATATGATTTTGTAAAAAGATGTTAATATTTCTGTAATGGTTTTCTAATAAATATATATTCTCATGTAACACCATTTTCATTATATTTCATATTTTTCTACTGTTCCGCCAAACCAAACACCCCCCCCCCGAAATTGTTATCTGACTACGGCCGGAGTGAAGTGATAGGTCCAACATTCATACAATGTCACATATCGACGCAAACATTCCGGTTTGTTATGTTGAAACATGGCCAAACACTGCTGAGAATCATCAAGACGTTCTTATTTTTGGTAAACAGTGAACTGGCGCGGAACCCACTTTGAACAGATCTTTCTATAGTCAAATGCTCAGTAAACCAACGTTTAATTGTTGTTTCTGGTGGAACGGGGTCCTTATAACATTTTTCAAGCCATCGCTCCGCTAGAACGGTAATTTTTCCCCCCATCAAGAAGCAATAGAAAATTGAAACACGAAATTTTTTTAGGTCCATTGTTTTAAAAATAACAAAAGTAGTGTCACTTTTAGCACAATAATTCAATAGAATATCATGAACTTTCAACAGCTTTCTTCTGAAGATTAGTACTAACTGAAAAAGCGGTGACTGCAACAAAACTAGCCCTATCTATGTGTTAGGTCCGAGACTTTTTAGCCCATGTAGTATTTTATAACCATTATCAAGTCCACCTTAGTAAAATACTAATTGTTTAAATGGAGAAGACATATAAGAAGTGAAAAACATGATTAAAACAGTCAAACGATCAAAATTCTTATTGAACGACCAACATGAAGTTAATCTGTTGTGAGAAATTTACTAGAATTAGTCGAATCATCAGTAACAATAACTTTCACCTATTTTGTACCTGCTGGCTACATTGTGAGGATTTGTAAGTGTTAACATGAATATTGTTTTTGATTTTCACCAAGTAATTCAAAATTGAGTAAGAGTTTATTTATTCCTTCACAAAAACAGAAAACATCAAATTAAAAAAAAAGTAATGAATTTTTGTTTACATAAAGCAATGTGATTCTCAATTATACATAATTGCCATCATGTTTATGTATTTTACTATGATTTGCTTTCTATTGGAAACTATCATATGTAATCAGAATATAACNAGAAATCTACAGGGTGGTCGAGTGTACCAATTTAATCGAAATTAAACGACCCCATGCATTTATTTTTATGATATTTAGTATGTTATAAAAATATCCATAGACTTTTCCGATGTGTGTATAAGCAACAACCAAAAAAAAGAAAAAATTGAAATATTAATAAAAGCTGAAAAATTAAAAAATATTATTAACAAAAAATGAAAAAAAAAATTAAAAGATTCCAAAACAAGTGATAACTGGACTATTCTTCTGATATCTGACTATTTATGAGTCCAAACATGCTCTGCTATTCCGGAATAGCAGAGCATGATTGGACTCATTAACATAACATCAAGTGGGCTCAAGCTGAAATCATCCACAAGGAAGAACATTGGTTTAGGGGATACTTAACATATGGAAACCTCTAATCAAGCGAAAAACGACCAACTCCCGCAAAACGGTCATCTCCCGCTAAAACCAATGAAGCGAAAAGAGGGAAAAGGGGATAGGTGAAAGCACTCGAATGACCTATAAATAGTCAGATTTCGAAGCAATAAGTCCAGTTATC